ATCTATGAAAGGTTTGAAAGTCTGTAAAATGGACTTCTATAGACAGAATAACCTTCTACAAGTCATCTAGGGGCCTTTCAGTTGACTTCTATAAATTAATGGCATTTACCAGGCCTGTGTGAAATATTCTGTTTTTAGAAGTCTTAAATGAAGACATTTTATGTGTGTATGATGATACATGTCTTCAAGAGGTTCGCTAAGTCATCAAACCTTCGAAACATCTAGTCCTCCATTACTTTTTGAAGACCTTTCGAGGAGGAGGAGGAGGAGAAGGGGGTGATTGGTCGTTTCGATATCGTTTATGGGTCTTTTGCTACTTTAAGGTCTAATAGGCAATAGTAGTCCTCAAGGTCCTCTTATGGGATTAAAAAATTTCTTTGGGTCTTTATTGTTCTTTAAAGTCCTCCTCTTATTATGGTCTCAAGGTATTTCTTTTCATCTTCAGCACCTTCTAAATGTCTTAGGTCTTTATAACTTTTTGCAAGACTTTTCGTAAAATTCTTCAGGTTTTCAAAAAAATTTTTTTAATATTTTTTCTTTAGAAAAATTGTATTTTTTGAGGATTTAATTTTTCAATATTATGTCATATTTTTTTTTAAAATTTAGTTTTTTGAGAAAAAAATTTAGTTTCAAAATGATTTTTTTAATACACATTTTTTTTGAAAATTTAAAATTTTTAGAATTTAATTTTAATTTTTTTAGAAAAAATTAATATTTTTGAGAAAAAATTTTAAAAATATTTTTTTTTTAATATTTTTTCTTTAGAAAAAATTTAGTTTTTTGATGATTTAATTCTTCAATATTTTTTCATAATTTTTTTTAGAAAAATTTAATATTTTTGAAAAAAAAAAAATTTCAAAATTATTATTTTTTAATATTTTTCTTTAGAAAAATTCTATGTTTTTTGAGCATTTAAATTTAAAATATTTTTCAGGGGAGATTAATTTTTTTAGGATTCATTTTTTTTCAATTTTTATAGTTGCGATGGAGGATATTCTATAAAATACAAAAAACACAACAACAAAACTACTTTTTATCAAATTTTGTACTACTCAAATTAAATTGAACACAAAATATTGAACTAAAGGTGACTAATTTTCAAACATTTACAACTATATATTACGTATATAGGAGAAAATGGTTAAAGGGAACAAGATATAAAAATACAATCAATTTCAAGGAATATCATTTTGAAACAATTTTAAATTAAAATAAAAATTTAAATTTTTATCAGGTCCCCATAACCATTTTCCATATGCCAAAACTTCAACAGAACTCAACATATTCTTTTTTTTGGATTTTTTTTTTGTAACAACAACAATAAAATTTAACAACATATACACAACACAAACATTTAACACAAAAATTGGTATATATAGAATAATCTAATAAATATTTAGTATATATAAAATAATATTAATATGATCTGAAATAAATGAGAAGGGTAAAATCCACTGTTTTACTATTTTTTACTATTTCTTCTAATTTTTTTCTTTGGTTAATTAATTTTTACTAATTTTTAATTTGTAATTTATTTTATTTTTTCTATAGAGGACTGCTAAAATTGTTCTCAAAACAAACAATTATTTACTCAAAGTGACTAGCTGATACTAATGGAAAAAATTATAAAAAAATATAATTTTCAAAAAATTTTCAATCATTGCCAATTTCTATAATTTTTTTTAAATTTCCAATTTTTTTTGGAATTTCAATTTTATTTACAGTACTTGTTTGGAAATATTATGGCCGATGTGATTTGTAATTTTGTAATCCGGAATTTTATTTCTAATCTACTCAAAGTTAGGACCTATTGTTGTTCTATCTAAGCTAAGGGGATAAGGGTATTCGTGGTTGTAGTTATCTGTTTTATCGTTTTCTTTCGTTTTTTGTTTATCCTTGCAGAATCACAGGGATCAATTAGTTGAAGTTGAGTTTGAGGCTTTTTGAGGCTGCTCTTCCAAACATGTTAGCTTGAATACAACAATCTGTGTGTATGTATGTTCGAGTATGTCCTTGGTAATCCTCCTAAAAAGCGTTGGATCATCTAGCATATCTTTGTGTGTGTTTGTTTTTTTTTTTTAAGATACAAATCTATCTTGTGTCTGACGACCATAGCGGTATGCCTTAAATCGAATAACTTCAATAACCAAAACTGTTCTTTGTTTCTTCTTTCGATATTTGGTGATTTAAGCTATAGTGTTGTTTTTGTAATGGGGAATTGGTTGTCTCTTTCTTTTTGGGGTTTTGAATTTTGTTTGGAGATTTTGTAATTTTTTTTCAAGGGAGGAAAAGTCAATGAACTTTTGCTGAACAGGCTAATGGTATTGAATTTTCAAAGAATTATCCACTTTTGAGAATAAAAAATATTATCCACTTTTGTGGATAAAAAAAATATTCACATTTGTGGGTAAAAAATATCTACATTTGTGGATAAAAAATTATCCGCGTTTTTTGGAAAAAAATAAATCCACTTTTGTGGATAAAAAAATTATTGAAGTTTTCGGATAAAAAAATTATCCAAGTTTGCGGATATAAAAATTATCCACGTTTGCGGATAAAAAATTTATCCATGTTTGCGAATAATATTTTATCCACGGTTTGTGGATAATAAAATTATCCACATTTGCGGATAATGTTTTATCCACGGTTTGTGGATACTAAAATTATCCACATTTGTGGATAATAAAATTATCCACGTTTGTGGATAATAAGATTATCCACATTTGTGGATAATAAAATTATCCACGTTTGTGGATAATTAAATTATCCACATTTGTGGATAATAAAATTTTCCACGTTTGTGGATAAAAAAATTATCCACGTTTGTGGATAATAAAAATTATCCACGTTTGTGGATAAAAATTTTATCCACGTTTGTGGATAAAAATAATTATCCATGTTTGTGTATAAAAAAATTATCCACGTTTGCTTCAAAAAAATTATCCACGTTTGCGGATAAAAAAAAATTATCCACGTTTGTGAATAAAAAAAATTAGCCGCATTTGTGGATAAAAGAATTATCCACGTTTGTTGATAAAAAAAATATTCACATCTGTGGATAAAAAATTTATCCACGTTTGTGGATAATATTTTATCCACGTTTGTGGAAAAATTTTATCCACGTTTGTGGATAACAAATTATCCACGTTTGTGGATAATATTTTATCCACGGTTTGTGGATAAAATTTTATCCACATTTGTGGATAGAAATTTATGCAAGTTTGTGGATAAAAAATTATTCACTTTTGTGAATAAAAATATTATCCACTTTTGTGGATAAAAATATTATCCACATTTGTGGATAAAAAAATTATCCTCATCTGTGGATAAAAAAATTATCCACATTTGTGGATAAAAAGAATTATCCACATGTGTGGATAAAATTATCCACGTTTGCGGATAAAAAAATTATCCAAGTTTGCGGATAAAAAAATATCCACTTTTGTGGATAAAAAAATTATCCACATTTGTGGATAAAAAGTTAAAATTACTATATTAAAGAATTATCCGTTTTTGTGGATAAACAAATTTATGCACATTTGTGGATAATTTTATTATCCACGTTTGCGGATAATTTTATAATCCACGTTTGTGGATAATTTTATTATCCACATTTGTGGATAAAAAAATTATCCGCGTTTGTGGATAAAAACATTATCCACATTTGTGGATAAAAAGATTATCCACGCTTGTGGATAAAAACTATTATCCACATTTGCGAATAATATTTTATCCACGTTTGTGGATAAAAAAATTATCCACATATGCGAATAGTAAAATTATCCACGTTTGTGGATAAAAATTTTATCCACGTTTGTGGATAATATTTAATCCACGGTTTGAGGATAAAATTTTATCCATATTTGTGGATAATAAAATTATCCACATTTGCGGATAATATTTTATCCACGTTTGCGGATAAAAAAAATTATCCAAGTTTGCGGATAAAAAAATTATCCACATTTGTGGATAAAAAATTATCCACGTTTGTGGATAAAAAAAAAACGTTGGTGGATAAAAAATTTATCCACTTTTGTGGATAAAAAAATTTGCGGATAAAAAAATTATCCACATTTGTGGATAAAAAATTATCCATATTTGTGGATAAAAAAATTATCCACATTTGAGGATAAAAAAATTAATCCACGCTCACGGATAAAAAAAAACTATCCACGTTTGCGGATAAAAAAATTTATCCACGTTTGCGGATAACAAAATTATCCACATTTGTGGAAAAATTTTATCCACGTTTGTGGATAAAAAAAAACTATCCACATTTGTGGATAATTAAATAATAAAAAAATATATTTTTTCCTACCTCCCATCCCTGCATCCATTTGCACTTTTCAACAAAAGTCCATTGGAATTGTGTTGCCTACAAGGGATTTGGTTTTCCTAAGTCCTGAGGTGTGGATTTTTTCTCCCTTTCATTTGATTTTTTTTCCATCGGTCATAATGCTTAGGACTGGTACTGTTTTCAAACTTAGTTTTTAAATTCTGACATTCCACAAAATCAAATTGGAATTTGGTGGTGGTGTGAGGGAGTTTTTTCTGAAGATTATATGTTTACAAACATTACAACAATGCTACTGTTTATTCGAAACTACTTTAGTGTTGTTGTCGGTTGGCTGGCATTCAACTCATTACTTTTTGAAAATGAATTGTCGATTTTTATTTTTTCTAAATCTAAATTACGCTCGAGCATGGCCCACACAAAAATGTGGACAAATCTAAATCGCAGAAAGTAACACTAAAGTACAAAATATTGGCAAATAAATTTTGAAATCTACGTTGATTTTTTTAGATTTTTGGAAGATACATTTTCGAACTGAGTCTTTGGGGGGATAGATAACTTTCTAGTTGTTGTAATGGAATATTCAAATAACAACGAGTAGGTAGTAGTAGAAGGTGGTTGGTTGTACTTAAGTTGTAGTTGTAGTAAAAAACAAGTGGATAAAAACCTTCGCTCCAAATCCAACTGATCTGGTTGATCCTCTCACCTGATGGTTGGTCACTTATTTGATTTGTCAATTTATTTCGAATTAACTTAAAACAATCGGCAATATTACGTTTCACCCAGTTCTTAAAACGAGCAATACGATTGAAGGCCTCTGCTATTTTATTGGTATCATTGTCGGCAGTCGGGGCTGATAAACTAGATGAACCGAAGTTGGACAAAAGCAAAGCTAAGAAAAGATTAAGAACCTGCAACAGTGGAGAGAATAAAGTTGGGAGAGAGAAAGAGAGAGATAAATGTCAAATTTTTGTATATTACGGATGAAGCCTCCATCCTGGGAGCGGGGGAGCAGTTTCGGCCACGTCAACTTACCACAAGATTGCCGATCACGACCGTGGCCAAGAAGAAGGGTATACAGCTGACATCGCCCACATACATGCAGTCCCACATGGACTCGATCCACTCTCCGCACAGCACTCGGAACACAATCATGAAGCTGTGCATGAAGTCGGTGAAATTCCAGCGCGGTAATTCATGGTCCTTGAAGCGATCCTTGTGGTCTGCACACACACACGAAAACACATGGAAAGATGTAAGCCATTATTACAATGAAATTTCAAAATATTCAAAAAAATATTGAAAAATATTCAAAGCTTTAGAAAAAACATTGAAGGCTTTGCTTGCTATTTTCGTTAAATATTTTCAAGCCACAAACTATTTAGCAAAAAAGTACTAGCGAGAAAAAAGATGATTGAAGTTGAGTTAGTTTGGAGAGAAAAAAATTCTTGAGTGTGAGAGAGAGAGTGTTGGAAAAAATCTCTTTCGTTTCGTTCGGGTGTTTTGTTGGTGTTGCTGTGTGTGACTTGGTGTCTAGAACAAAATTTCCATTTTTTTTGGTCTACTTACTTTACTCAAAACATTTATTTTAGGGGATTCTACGGTTTGTAGTTGTGGTTGTGTTAGGTTTCGAGAGGGGTGTGTGTATGTGAGTGTAAGAATTTGATTCCGATTTTGTTTTTTTTGTTATGGAAATTGTTTGAATCGTATTGGGGAATAGCTACACCAGTGACATTTCCAAGGAATTTTTAAGATTTTGTGGATTTGCAGATAATTTAACGATAAATTATCTCAGATTTTTTTACGGCAAAATTTTATCTTCAGATATTTCATCCACAAATGTGGATTATTTATTTTTAGAAAAAAAAAGAGTCCTGTATCTAGAGGTTATTTATTCATGTTTGTGGATAAGTTATCTATAGATAAATTATCTACGTTTGTAAATAAATCATATATAGATAAATTATCTACGTTTGTAGACAAATCATCTACAGATAAATAATAATAAATAGTGGTGGGTAGATAAATTATCTACGTTTGTAGACAAATCATCTACAGATAAATAATAATAAATAGTGGTGGGTAGATAAATTATCCACGTTTCTGGATAAATCATCCATAGATAAATTATCCACGTTTTTGGACAAATTATCTACAGATAAATTATCCACGTTTTTGGACAAATTATCTACAGATAAATTATCCACGTTTGAGGACAAATTATCTACAAATAAATTATCCACTTTTGGGCATTATTTATCTTAAGATAAATTATTATTTGTGCATAAATTAGTTTTAAATAATTTATCCACGTTTGTGGATAAAAGAACTATAGATAAATTATCCAGGTATGTAGATAAATGGACTATAGATAAATTATCCACGTTTGTGGATAAATTAATTTTCAATGAATTATCCACATTTGTGGATAAATTATCTACAGATAAATTATCCACGTTTGTGGATAAAATATCTACAGATAAATTATCCACGTTTGTGGATAAATTATCTGCAGATAAATTATCCACGTTTGTGGATAAATTATCTGTAGATAAATTATCCACGTTTCTGGATAAATTAAGTTTAGATAAATTATCCACGTTTATGGATAAATTTACTATAAATAAATTATCCACGTTTAAGGATAAATTATCTAGAGGTTAATTATCCATATTTACTGATAAATTATCTATATATATGTATGTTATCTGTGATCGCGGATAAATTATCTTGTGGTTAATTATCCTATTTGTGAATAAATAATTTTTAGATAATTTATCCACGTTTGTGGATAAATAATTTTTAGATAATTTACCCACGTTTGTGGATAAATAATCTATAGATAAATTATCCACGTTTGTAAAAAAAATAATTTAGATAAATTATCCACGTTTGTGGAAAAATTATCTTGAGATTAATTATCCACAGTTGTGGATAAATCATATGGAGATAATTTATCCACGTTTATGGATAAATTATTTATAGGTTAATTATCCACATTTGTGGATAAATTATCTAGAGGTTAATTATCCACATTGGTAGATAAATTAACCAAATTAAAATAAATTAAATTAATTTTAGATAATTTATCCACAAATGTGGATAATTAACCTCTAGATAATTTATCCATAAACGTGGATAATTTATCTATCGATGATTTATCTACAAACGTGGATAATTTATCAATAAATTATTTATTCACAAACGTGGATCATTTATCTAAAATTAATTTATCCACAAACGTGGATAATTCATCTATGGTTAGTTTATCCACAAATGTGGATAAGTCATCTATAGATAAATTATCTACGTTTATGGATAAATTTTCTTGAGGTTAATAATGCACATTTGTGGATAAATCATCTATTGATAGATTTATTCGTGGATAAATTATCTAGAGATTAATTATCCACATTTGTAGATAAATCATCCATAGAAAAATTATCCACGTTTGTGGATAAATCATCCATAGATAAATTATCCACGTTTGTAGATAATTGAACCATAGATAAATTATCCACATTTGTGGATAAATTATCTACAGATAAATTATCTTATCTCATAGATAATATTACTTACAGGTATTATTTTGGAGACAATGCTCATTGCGGACCTTTATCTAAGAGATAATAGTTCCCTCCGGGCATTATCTCAGATGTATTGGTCTACGACTAAATATCAGACGTTATCTCAAAGATACTGACATTAAAATCTCAAAGATAATCATCATCTCTGTGTTTTATCTCAGAGATAATGATTGAGAACTAGTGATAATAATGAGATAAGAGAGGGAGAACCTTCATCTGCGAAATGAGAGGTGGTCCTCCCCTCCGTACATTATCTCAGATATGATGATTGAAACGTAGTGATAATAAAATGAGATGAGATATAATAAGATACGTAGATAGACGTAATGAGATAAGGGGATGAAAATCATTAGATAATTATTTCTGAGTTAAAAATGGAGAGAAACCTTTTCCTGAGAGATAAGAGGTGACCCTCGCAGGTAATTACCTCTCCCGGCATTATCTCAGATATAAGGGCCCATGACTCATTATTAGACATTAACTCAAAGAGAATGACATTAAAGCCTATTTTCTTAGAGGTAATTATCATATTTGCGTTTTATCTCAGAGATAATTGTTGAGAGATAGGGATAATAATGAGAGAGATAATAAAATAAAGAGATACAAGCAGTGGGATAAGGAGATGAAGATCACGATATAATTATTTCTCAGATTAATATGGAGAGAAACCGTTATCTGAGAGATGAGAGGTGACCCTCAAAGGCATATTTGGGCTTTATCTCAGAGATAATATATGGAGACAAAAATAATGAGGTAGGGGATCGTGAGATATTTATTTCTGAGTTAAATATGGAGAGAAACCGCTATGAGATGGTCCTCAAAGACAATTATTTCAAAAAATAGTCCTTTTAGGCCATTATCTCTGAAAATAGTACTGGCTATTATCTCAAAGATAAGGACAATTGCAATTATCCAAAAATATTGATTTTCACTAGCAATTTTCTAAAAAATATTTATCCTTTCCTTTTTTAATAAAATATATTGGGGAGTTTCTTGAATATAATGTTCTTCGCCGGCAACTGTTCCTAATATTATAGGTCTTTCCGGTCATATTCTCAGAAATAATGATTCGTAAGGACAATTATCCCCGAGATAATTGTCCCTTTTGGATATTGCTTCAGAGATAATGATACTCAACGGCATTAATCTCAAAATCATTAGCCCTTTGCCGCCATTAGCTCAAATATGATGGCACTCACAGCCCATTATCTCAAAGATAATAGTCCCTGACGACAATTATCTTGTAGATAATAATCCTCTTCTGGCGTAATATCAGAAATAATTATCTAATCAAACCATTATCTAAGATGTTTTAGTGGTGTTAGGTTATATTCTCTGAGAGAGAGAGATAGAGCGGTAGAGATGATGAGAGAGAGAGGGTGAAAGAGAGTGTGAGTGAGTGAGTAAGGGCTCATTCTCTCACTGCTATTTGATCACTATCCTTAGAAAGAGAGATAGAGAGAGAGAAAGAGAGGGAGTGAGTGAGTGAGTTATCTCTTTCTTACTATTAATGAATCACTATTCTCAGAGATGATCGCTTTTTGTCATTGGTGTAGCATTCCCTTGAGGTTTTTATATTGTTTTTTTTTTTTTTTTTTTTGTAAATGTATTTGTTTTTGTTTTGGCTTTTTATTGCCCACGAGACGTAATTGGTAGATGAAATTGAAACTTATGAGATGAAACTATAAAATAGCTTAGAATTCTGTTTGATTTTTTTTTGTAATTCAAATAAAAATAAGACAGTTAACACAACACATAAACTAAATTTTGGATAATAATGGAACAGGATGTCAATTCGATGTTAATTTTAATTTTTGAATTTAATTTTTATTATTTATTTATTTATTTTTTTTTTTTTTTTGAAATTTCCAAATTTTGTATCAAACTCCTGATCCATTTTTATTGTTTTTTCAATATTTTCTAATTTTTTGTTGTTATTTTTTGTTTTTTTTTTTTGTTTTTAGGAGGATGAGTAGGCAATCCTCCTTCATACTTACCAATATAGTTCTTTCCGAAAAGTTGCATTCCCATCACGGCAAAGATGAAGATGATAATGCAAAGTACAAATGTCAGATTACCCAATGCACCCATTGTCCGGCCCATAATCGAAATGAGTAAATTCAGTGTGGGCCATGATTTTGCCAATTTGAATACACGAAGCTGGCGTTTTGGAAGGGTGGTGTACCGTTTCGATATGTGTGGTTTGATTTGGGGGGGAAATTGGTGATGGTATGTTTTTTTTTTTGGGTTTTGGGGGGTTAGATATGTAATGGTGTTGGTGTTGATATATTTTTTTTTGGTTTTTGGTAAAAAAATTGCGTTGTTTATTTTTGGTTAATAAAAGCCGGGCAAAGCGTAGGAAAAGTTGTACATAAAAATATATGGAAAAAAATTTATATTTTAATTAATTTCTGGTTTTGAATACAACAACTTGTTTTTTTTTTTTTTTTTTTTTTTTTTTTGGGGTGGGGGTCTGGGGTTAAGGTTCTTAATCTGTTTAAGGAGAATTATTGAAAAATCAGAATCGGCATAGCTTCTTAAATCATGCCTTGACCAAATAACAAAATCTCGTTTTGAAACTTTGTTTTCAATTTCCAGCTGGGATTTGAGTGATTTTTTTTTGTATTTTATTTTTTTTAAATTTACAACAAATTAAAATCCAAGTATTTTGAAAAAAAATACGTGCCAAAAAAGCTTTGTTTTTTTGTTAAGAAAAAAATGTATTTTAAAAAAAGTGTTTTGAATTAAAAAAAATGTGTTGTTGTTATTGTTTTTTTTTTAATTTTTTTGTTGTAATCAAAAAAGAGTAGTAGGCATTTAAGGAAAACTGGTGGCTAAAATTGTTTGTTGTAGTTGTTATTGTTTTAATGGCTTGTCAGCTTGTCGCTTAATACCTGTGTAGTTTTTGCCAAACAATTGCATGCCCATGACGGCGAATATGAAGATAATTATACACAAGACGAAGGTCAAATTGCCTAAGGCGCCCACTGTGCGACCCATAATGGATATCAGTAAATTCAGTGTGGGCCATGATTTGGCCAATTTGAAAACACGTAGCTGGAATTTGTATTTGGGGGTGTGTGTGAGTTTAGAGATTAAGTTCAAAAAAATGGGGAAATAAAAAAAAATATTATTCTGATTTTTTTGATTGGTTCTGGAAATTCTTATATTTAGGGGAACCTGTGCCTCAAAGGTCCTATAAGAAACAGTTAAGGGAAAACGAAAAAAGTGTGGCAATCCAAGCACTAACTTACCAAACGAAAACTTCTCAACACCGACAGGCCCTGGACACCCTCCAGGCCCAATTCCAGCAGAGACAAGGCCACAATAATGAAATCGAAAATGTTCCAGCCTTCCTGGAAGTAGTACTTCGGGCTCATGGCCATCAGTTTCATGCTGGCCTCAATCGCAAAAGTGGCCGTGAAGAACTGAAAGCAACCATTAATTATTTTTATTATTCTTCTCCTCCCGTTCACCTCCTCTCCTTCTGCCATACTTACATAGTTACCACTTTTCAGCACCTTCTCCAATTCCGGATTCATGTCGTGATGATCCATGGCCATGAACATTGTATTGACCACAATACACAGGGTAATGAAGAGCTCCACGAATGGATCGAACACAATAAAGGAGACCCATTCCTGAAATTTTAACCACACCCAACAACAGTCCCATACACAAAAGATTTCGATGCCTTTTAGGATATATTCGAGGGCGATGTCCTTGAATGTGGGACCATCTTCGTCATCGTCCTCTGTGGGAAAATAGTAAACGGAGACTGAATCGTACAATTGGGCATTAGTTGGATTTGACATACTTTGACTCAGCCAGTTTTTGAGGGGAGGTTGGTTTTTGTTATTTTTTTTAACGATTTTTTACTAATTTTTAATCAAATTTAATTTTGTTTTTGTTAAATTTCAAATGCAAACATCAAAAATTAATCTTCATTGGATTACTAAGTTCAACAAACACAAGAGAGAATAATAGAGAGAGAGAGAGAGCGAGAGGCAAAACACATTGATTGAAATTAAAAACAACTTAACGGGAGAGAGAGACAATGTTTAGTTTCTCTCCCTCAGGGGTTTTCTCAGACCAATACACTCGAGCGCAAAACACATTTCACATCAATATTTTTTCCAGTTGCCCAAACGAAGGGGGTGACATTGACACATTTTCTAACAACAAAACTAAGGCTCAACACACAAATCGTTTTTTTATTTTCTATTTTCTAGCCAAGCAGCTTAACTACCACACAAATATTGAAGAGAGAACTACTGAGAGAGAGAGAGAGAGCTAACTACATAAAGACTAATTTTAAATGGAATATTTCATTGAAGAGAGAATTACTGAGAGAGAGATAACTACTTAACGAGTAATTTTGAACAGACTATATCACTGCAATTTTATCTATATAGTTAAGAGAGAAATTTGCTAGGAAAACCTTAAGAATGGTCGTTATTAAATTTATCTTAAAGATAATGACCAGAAAGGACTTATATCTGGAATATACTGACTAAGAACGACATTTATCTCAAAGATAATTGGCATGAAAGAAAATTATCTTAATAATAATGGGCATAAAACACATTTATCTGAAAGATAACGGCCATTAAGAATAATTATCTCAAGGCTGATGGCCGTAAAGACTGTTATCTCAAAGATAATGGTCATACCTGACGACGTCAAAAATAATGACCATAAAGTAAATTTATCTCAAAAGATGACAGATATAAAGAAAGTCTATCTTAAAAATAATGGATTTATCTCAAATATAATGGTCGTATGTGATATTTATCTTAAAGACAAGATCATTTATCTCAAAGACGATGACCATAAAGCAAATTTATCTTAAAGATAATGGGTATAAAGAATGTGTATCTTACAGATAACGGACATAAATGGTTTTTATCTTAAGGATAATTGGCATTTATCTCAAAGATAATGCCCACAAAGGGCGTTTATCTCAAAGATAATGGACGCAAAGGACATGTATCTGAAAGGTAATGGACGTAAAGGACCTGTATCTGAAAGATAATGGTCATATATGATATTTATCTTAAAATTAATGACATTAGAGATAATGACATTTATCTAAAATATATTGCCCGTAAAAGACATTTATCTCAAAGATAATGAGCATAAGGAAGATTTATTTTAAAGATGCGGTTCATAAGGGAAAAAGTAATGACAATAAGGGATATTTATCTTAAAGATAATGGGTGTAGAGGACATTTATCCCAAAGCATTTATCTTAAGAATAATGGTGGTAAAGGAGAATCATCATAAAGATAATGAAAATAAAAGATATTTATCTAAAATATATTGCTCGTAGATTGCCGAATTGAGCAGGTCTGATCTGTAATATAACGACCCAACCTCAGAGAAGATAATTTTCTCAAGATAGCTAAAACCAATGGTCAATTTCGAACATATGAAGGTCGGAAATGATCTGTATCTGGGAGACAATTAGCCCATTTCTTAGAGATAGAAGTCTTAAGTGGGTTTTATCTGGAAGATAACCGATTTATTGAAATGAATAGATGATCGTAAAGACCATTACCTGCCATATAATGGTCGAAAAAATCATTATCTGGGAGATAATTGCTCTCAGCTTCCAATATCTCATAGATAATGGACCTTAGATAACATTATTGCAATGGAAATCGGTCGTTAGGGCCTCTACCTATCAGATAATGGACATATCTGACAATTATCTTAATGCTAATGACCAAAAATTATCTGAGCTTTGTAGGCAAATTTTTCAGAGGGAAAGATAGAGAGAGAAAGTGAAAAGATAATAGGCATAAAAGACCAGAGCGTGCGATATTTCTACGAAAAAAAAAAATTATTATATAAGCTTCCATTAACTATTAGATTTAGGTGGAAGGGGGTATTATCTAAGATATGGTTGTACTCAACGGAAAATCTCTGCCCATTACCTGTCAGATAATGGTCAAAAAGTATCACTCAGAGTGAGAGAGATGCAGAGACAATGGCACTCTATCAGAAGTTGACCTCTACTCTTATCTTAGATAAATAAGGGACTTAGCAGGTAATTATCTAATGTTTTCCATGGCAAACTCTCAAAGGTAAATATCCTCAATGACCGGTATCTCAAAAGGGACCTAAGGACCTAAGCATTCCTTTAACTAAAGAATTCTTTATCTTTATGTACCAGGTAATGGCGGAAAATAATCATTATCTAAAAGATAAAAGTCATTCTTTTAGAGATAACAGTACTCAATTGCGGTTATCTTAAAGAGATGAATGTACTCACCATGCGTTTCTATCTGAGAGATAATGGTTGTCAGTGATCACTTTCTCAACCTTAACTTCCATTATCTAATAAATAAGGGACCCAACAGGCCATTATTTATTGCGAGAGATAATTATGAAGTTATTTCAAAGATGATAGACGTAAGCGTAAATGATGACTGTAAGTGGCCACCATCTCAAAGATAATTCACCCAAACTTAACTTTTCTAAAATATAAGATAATTATCTGAGGGATAAGCTTCTAAAAACAAGTCTCTAATATATTTTCATGACTATTGTCTCAAAGATAATGGATATAATCTAATATCCATCAACGGAGTTATCATCCAGGAGACAGGTACTCTCTTCTACCAATCTTTGAGATATTTAGGTCATCAAAGGCATAATCTAAGAGATAATTGATATGTATGAATATTATCTCAAAGATAATGAATCCAAGGGTCAATTATCTCAGTGAGGTTATGGTCCCAGAGATTAAAGAGATTCCCCGAGATAATGACCATCAGAGATAACAGTCCTCATCTCGGAGACCAGACCAGATATTATTGGATATAATGGTCCTAGGCGAAAATTATATTAAAGTTTAAGGTTTCCAGTGTCTATTAATTCGATGTCAATGGTTGTCACCTGTTATTATCTCAGATATAATGATCTTCGTCGTCTATTATCCCAAAATAGAATCTTGTCATTCAATAGAGAAAATGATTATCTCCAACATTATTTAAGAGAAAACGTCCCTTATCAGCCATTATCCCATAGCCATTTCATGGCCCTTACCATTTATTTCCTTGGACATTATCTTAAAGATAATGATTCTCAAGGTCCATTATTGTAGAGAATCTGGTCTTTGTCAGTTATTATCTCTGAAAGAAAATATCCTCATTGACCGTTATCTTAGAAATAACATTCTCACCATCCATTATCTTGACTTCTCATCGTCCATCATTTTAGAGCAGGGGTGCTCAAGAAGAAATATCTGTTTTCAGTCAAATTTCTCTTTGCTTATATAAATCAAGAACAAAACAGTGTTAAGTCATTATACAAATATTTTTTATCCATTTGCTTTATAAACTATTTTGGCAAACATTCGTTTTTAAAAACAATTAAATAGAACCGTAAAACATAAAGAAAAACAGAATTTTAATTTTCTCTTAAATTATCTCTTTTTTCTCTTCATGTTCTAGAACACGGTTTTGAGCACCCCTGTTTTAGAGAAACCGGTCTTTGCTAAACATTATCTCTAAGAGAAAATGGTCCTCATCACCATTATTTCTGAAAGAATGCTTTTCACCGGCCAGTACGCGGAGATAATGATCCTCTACGGCCTTTATAATAGAGCAAATGATCCAGTGAATGTCTGAGAGGCAAAGGGCTTCACCACCTTATTTTTTCGAGAAACTAGTACTCATCATCAATTATCTTAGAGATAATGATCCTCTCCAGTCTATCTATAGCCTCAAAGGCATTTAAGACTTTCTCACATTATCTCACATTCTCGCTCTCATTGAATCTGAGATAATAACTCTTGATAATTAATATGTCTGGAGAAAAAAAATTATCTAAGAGGTTATGCTTTTAAGTTTGAGATAATGTTTCGCAGCGGTCCTCATCTAAAAGATATTGGTCCTCAATGGACGTTTTCTCAGTCCAAAATAATTTTATGTGTTTGTTTCTCTTTCGAGACGAGCTTAATGATCTGAAATTTGCAGTGAAAAATTTTAGTTTTAAAAATATGTCATGGTTTTCAAAATCTACTAGATCTACTCTAATTTAAATAACAGAACTTCTAACAAAAATAAACAGCAATAAACTTTTTTTTATGAAATTATCTATCATAATTTGGAAATAACATTTAAATTTCTACAGTGTTTGAAGGTTGGAATTCTCCTCCTAGAGAAGCCGCCTATGTCAAGATAACCTTTTAGAGTTTATCCAGGGATAGAAGACCCCCTGGAGGTATGCTACAATAAAACATTTTTCCAAAGTACTTATACAATTCCAAGACTTATCTCTCCTTCTAACTTCTATAAAACTTATGGGTAATGAGATCAACTTTGGAGAGGGTTTCCCTCTCTTCAATTTTAGTTTATCTTCTACTGAGTAAATTATCTGATATATCTGAAAATCTACCTCAACACTTAAATTTTCTAAAATATTATTAATTTTTATAGCATTTTTTTTTAAATTTTCATTTTCTTCAATAAAGCTTTCAAAAGCTCTACAAGCTGGAAAAATTACATGTATTTATTTTTTTTTAATTTTATTTTAATTTGTTTTTTTTTAATTCAAATTTCATTTTTAAAGAGAAGGGCTGGAATAATTAGGCATGCTTTCAAGGCAAAACTGGCAATTTTTAGGAAAAAACATTTTTAAAAAATACTTAATTGTTTGAAAATTTTTGTTAAAGAAAAATCTACTTAGAAAAGAATTCATGCAACTAATAGAAACTACAGGAATTTATTGTTGTTTGCAACTAACATTTAATTTAACAAATTGGGAAAA